AAATCTTCTATTAATGTGCTTATCAATCTTGATCTATTAAATGTGGACAATCTTCTGTGGGTTCGGACTCCGAAAATAGCTGGATGCCAACTTTTTTGCTTCACTTCTAGAATTGTTTGCCTTTTGTTTCTGTAGTTCCGAAAGCGTCATCTCGTATGTTTTGAGGAGAAAATCTCTGTTCGTAAAGAGGATTTTGTGGATCGCATTGGATATCTAGTTTAAAACTTTTTCATTCTCTTACGTTGATATGTCAACTCGTTCAAGCCCGAAAAATATTAATATATTTTTGTAACAGCCAAAGCTCGCTAGGAGATATTTTCTCTTTGGGTAGGTTTTCACACCTTTATAAAGAATGCTTCGTTCTCCTCTCCAACCAACGTGAGTTTTCACAATCCACCCACCTTCAGGGCCCAGCGTCCTCGCTGACACTCATTTCTCTCTCCAATCGACGTGGGATCCCACAACCCACCCAGACCCAGCGTCTTCACTGACACTCGTTTCTCTCTCCAATCGATGTAGGATCTTACAATCCACTCCCTCCGGGGGATGACCCAAGTGTTCTCAATGACACTCGTCCTCTCTCCAATCGATGTGGGATCTCACAATTCATCCCTTTGGGGCCAGCATCCTCGCTGACACACTGCCCGGTGTCTGGCTCTAATACCACTTGAAACTGTCCAAGCCCACCGCTAGCAGATATTGTCCTCTTTGAGCTTTTCCCTTTCGGGATTCCTCTCAAGGTTTTTAAAACATCTCTATTAGGGGGAAGTTTCCACACCCTTATAAAGAATGTTTCGTTCTCCTCCCTATGAGATTTCACAATTTTCCTATAATTGTCATGCATTGGAGTATTGGCCCGGAGGTTGAAAGAATAACATTACTCCGTGGGGGGCACTTCGAAGAGCTCGATGTGCCCATACTGTCTATATAGCAAGGGGCTAAGGGTGAGAGAAGAGACAGGATCTCAAGTTACGCTAGAGAAACTCATATCATGGGGCGTCACATAGGATTTAGAACAACCATTCCCCCTTCTTTAAACAAATGTGTGGTTAGTTAGCTTTCCAAAACTGAGTACTGTCATATGCTAGTGTAGTGTAGTACATGCTGTATGCTAATCGTTGCAGTGCTGATTGCAGAACTCCCCATGTGATCCTTGCATGACACATTGCTGCCTGCACTGGTGCGCTCTTTGTCAAGAACACAGGGAGATGAAGGGACGTCTAGCCGATAACTTCGCAGTCCCAATGACTATCGTGAACCCGCCACCCGTTCAAGAAATGAAGTCGGAAAACGAAGGTGAAGGAGGAACCACTTCAACTTCCAGCACCAACGGGCAGACCAATCTGGAAATGCAGGCATTGTAGATTCCATCCTAGATCCAACCACACCACAGCATACGTTAGATAGTTTCGGTGAGCTCTTCCGTTACTCGAACCACCCCGAGAGTGTAATGACTCGCAGAGTCCTTTAAAGTTCAGCCATTTATATGCTGTTTTATTTTTATTTTTTGACCTGAGGAGTTGACTTGGCTGAGTTATATCCAGATTTATGAACACTGAACTCGGTAGATTTTAGGGGGCATTTTTACAGTTGGAGGACATTTATGTTATGAATATTATGGCCATTACCTTGCTCTCCTGTTCTCCGTTCTAGATTATTAGTGGTTTTTTTTTTTCTTTCTTTTTTAAGAAATTTATAATTATGTCTGTTCTTTCCCGCGTGTTTTGTGCTAAAATGAGCATAATTCACTTAGCAGTTGCCTCGATGAGCATAGTTTAAAGGTGTGTAACGTGTACTGCTTTACGTTGAGCTGTTTTGATGTCGACATGTTTACTAAATCAATTTCTAGAGACGAATCGACTCTGATACCTATTGTCACCGTCACACTTTCATAAGAACTTTGCAAAACGATTGTGCAGCACTCACCCTCACCACTGAATGAGTCAGCCAATTCATATTTGTGACATATACTCAAATCTCTGGTTCATTACAAAAAAAAAAAAAAAAAAAAAAAAAAAAAAAAAAAAAAAAAAAAAAAAAAAAAAAAA